AAGTTTAATATTTAAATAATTGAATTCTTTAATTTAGTTTAAATATATAAATATTATATTTAATATGAATACAAATTTGTTTCTAATATTATTGAATTTTTTAATAAAACTGATTATTAAATAAAAAAATTTTATTTTTAAATTATACTTCAAAGTATATTAAATCTCTAATTCGTATGCAAAACGGAAAGGAACTTCTTGCTGTAATAGCCAAGAGACTAAAACTTAGACTGTAGTAAAAAATGTTGATAAAACCATAAGTGACCTATTCTAAACCATCATTGGACAGTTATAATCAACTTCTCTACCACCGAAAAGGAATTGTTGGTAAACAAAAATTGGAACTATATTAAAATATTTCACAAACTTACAAAAAAAATATTTTCAATATATACAAAAATTTTTGGAAATGCATCAAGAAAGTGAGATTAAAAAGCACAACAACCTTTCTAACTTATTAGTTAACCAATTTATACTTATTCAGGCATAAATGTGTTTAATTACAATTAATTTGGTTGTTAAAGGAAATTTTCAAATTTCCTACATTATTACGATTTATTTTAATTTTTAATTTTTTAATAAATAAAAATATAATAGAAATGTTCTGCGATTTGAGCTGCAAACATATGAGCACAACTACAGTATATCGACGGCTACACAACTATATCTTTAGCAATATATATATGTAAATGTTAGAAATAATTTTTTTTCTGGATGTAAAGATATTTAAGGAATTTATATATTTAATTTAACATTTTGCACACCTCCGTACCTTAGAGCAGTCGTTACTGTTAGCAAGAGACTTTAGCATGAGACTTATTGTTTTTTACTGCATTTTGGAACGGCACTTTGGAGTGCTCTTCGTATTCGCTTTGTCGTATTCGGAGAATCCGATTAATCGTATAGTAAGCGAAGTCTCCGGACTTGAAAATAAAATCAAATTTTTTGTAAATATTCAGAATATCTAGAATTGCGATTATTATTCGCAGTGAAATTATTAGAATAATCGGACAACTTTTCTTTTTAAAATAACCGAATGATATTTTATTCACATACTAATTTTATAACATGTTAAATTAAGTCTTACACCAAAATTG